ACTGGTATTTACATATAACTATGCTACGAGAAAAAAAAAGGATGAATTTTGTTTGTTGAAAGCATAAGTGGGTAAGGGCACACAGCTGGCGACGGACACGAATGTGATTTTGTGGTGCACAGTTAGTAGCGTTTGGTGGTTGTATTGCTCGTAATGTGGATCATTGATTAGGTCTATTCGGATTTGTTGACCTTGATAAGCCAAAAGGGGCAGAAAATATGAGCACATATGGATGAAACTTTAGCGATGAGATACGTGAAACGACCTTATTTAGTGAAGACTTGGGCTATTGGGATTCTTGTAAGGATATTTTCTGGTGTTATCAGCTGAGACCTCGACATTACCCAGGATAAACCAACGAATCAGCAATTTTCAGTTTTACAGCTGAGCATCCGCTCTTTCGAGCACTAACAGTTTTTTTAATTTTATATCACTTCGTTGCGGACTTAAAAGAAGCTCATACGCGAAAGCCTCGTTTAAACTAGAAAGATACAAAACTACATAGAAATAGTGCAATGAGAGCTAGGGAGAGGTCAAATGATTGGGTATGCGTATGTCAGTCATTTGCCCCTACTTACTGAGGTAGGAAACCCATGTTATCTTTATGATTGTAGATGGGTTCAACGCTACATTAAATATTTTCGATGGGATTCAAAGCGAGTGACTTCAATGGGAGTTAACACTGCTGAATAGATTCTCCATCTCATCGCACCTTATCTCGACCTACTGCTGCTATACCTTAGAGTAGGCATCAGGTTCTCCTACATTGATGTATCTTAATGAATTGAATAACAACGTTCTTTATCTTTTGAAATGATAATGTTAGGTGCATTGAACAGGATAATTGGAAATACCTTAACATCCCTTGAAACTTTAAAACCTTGCGTGCGTGTGCGCACGTAAAAACAGACTGAGAGGTGTCTATACGTCTTATTGTAAAATAGTTCATACGAACAAATGTATGAGCACGCATTTTGCGCGCAACATATTCCCTAATACAGAAGATTTAGATTATTTTCTTACGCTAATATCATTCTCGATAATAATTTGGATGGTGAGAAAACATTACGACCAAGTTAAAAACTGAACAAATCAACAATTTGTTTTGTGGAAATTGCTTCTTCGCTGAGATCGGCTTATTGTGTACAGATAGTAACAATATCAGTGGTTACTCATGAGAACTTTCATTTTAATATGATTGACTTTAAATAAAGGTGAATTTGTGCAATACGTTGAAAGCAACAAACATTTAAAAAAAGGCGCGAAATTTGAGATCAATCTGAGTAACAAGGTGCGCCTGTCCAAAGAGTGTTTATCCGCAACAATCACTTTGTCACTAATTACGTTTTTAACATGAACACCTATAAAAGGCACATGATATACTTGTTTACCAATTGGATAACATTGATTATTCTAAGACATCTGCTGCAAATGTGTGGAGGTGAAAATGTATAGAAAATGAGATGTTTGTTTATGTGGGACTGCGGTGCTTTTAGATACAGCCTCAAAGATTTAAGTGATACTTCGTGATTATTAATTCTAACGATGGTTATAGTAAAAACACGTATAAATGAGCAGTTAATATTTGACAGCGTATGTGGTGTCTCTGGCAGGATTTTTTCCATGCGACAATTTCCATACGGAAGTGTTATTGCCAAAACGAGAAATGACAGTCGCGCGGATCAGAGGGTTGGGCTGCTCAAAATTGCCAGAGTATACTAAAAAAAAAGCCCAGCATTTATATCTGAAATGTTACTATACGAAATAACCCAAGTGCAAGACCAAGTGAAGGAATGTGTCCACAAGACTACTTTTAATGTGGAGCTAGACCTCTTCTTCATGAATTTTTTTTTTTCGTTTTAGAAATGATTACGTTTTAAACTTCGAGACGAGGCAGCTTTCTTTAGCGATAGCATCGAGATAATTCAGAGAACCCAAACATTTTACACTGAATCTCATTATCCGACCGTAAGCGCTATTTGAATCCCGTGAAATAAGTGTAAAGTTGTAACAATAGTTTGGTACTTTTAGGTACACGCAAGGGGCATGAGAAGTTTAATATTACTAGGTTCACAAAAGCATGATCTAAATGCACACTTCAGAGGTGGATTTAGTCCTGTTGTGAGTAAAAAGAGCTTATGCTGATATTATGGAGACCGCAATGATGACATTTCCCTTTCTGCCAAGTTTAATAATCAACTAAATGATTCGTTATTATTTCAATGGAGAAAATGAATACTCGGCAATTCTCCACGGAGCTTGACTAAATTACGTTGAATTGTTCTGGAACAGATGAACTTACTCATTTACCTCAAATTTCAACATCGAATCATCTGGGACAACAGCAGCGGCATTCGCATCTCAAAATTTATAGGCCCCCGATATACGGCAATGTGTTTCTTAGAGTAAGACTGATATATTTTCTATTTATGTAAAGATCTGTTTTTAAGAAGAGCGTCGGTTATTTATTTAGTGTTTGGTTAGTGCATTTAAATATGCACCAATAAGCGTCTATCACAAAAACAATAAAAGCACTTCTGTTTTTTTTTTTTGTTATTTAATCTCGTGGTCGCAAAGATATGAAATGACTGTGATATAACGATAAGATAATCTTTCGTGTCCTACTAATCATCGGTAACTGCAGCAATGAAGGTGATGTCGTGTTCTATCGTGCCCTCAAACAAATATAGATTATATAGTTCAAGTAAACAATTACATTTTGGTATATTACAACAGGTCTGTAGCATTTATCAGTATAAATCAACGTAGTATTATCCTGTACTATAAAACTGGACTTGGAAAAAATGACTCATGAATAATGTTTATTGACGATTCTTTCTACCAACCTACAAAAGCTAGCAAATGTTCATTCAATCGTAGAATTGCACATTGAATAGACTATACACTTTATAACTGGTGTTTCTGTTTCGTGGAATTACTAGTTTTATTCAGAAATATATATGTGTATATAGATATGATTGCTTTGGGCCTTTCGAAATTTTAATGAAATACTAATAGATCATATTGAAAGTCATTCGTTTTAGAAAAATAGTAGTGGTCTAAAGATAATTTGTACACATTTGAAGTTTTCTTTGCGCTTCATACTTTTATCATAAGCCGTATCTCTATCTAGCTTGATGCTCCAATGAAAATAGAAGGCGATAAATCCGCACATTTAGTCTCTTACAGCAACACGTTTCAAACATTTTTTTAGGAGAACTGAATTCAGTGAAGAAACCTAGAGCTTTTCGAACAAGTCTATCGCAGTCGACCTCGACAAAATTTCAGTCTTAAAGGTATTGTGACAGGCTACAACATCTCCGACGAGAGACGGCCAATGTATTATCGAAATATTACCATAGACTTTGTCGGTGACTGATTTTCTTTGTTTGTGTCAGTCAAATATTTATTCAAATAATAGACGACACTGAGTGCTAGTACACTTGATTACATATTCTCCTCGAAAATACTCAGTAATCATTTCAGTCTCAATATGGAAGAATGGAATTAGGTGCGATTTACAAAAAGATGTACATTAGAATCTCGAAAGCTTCTACTTCTTCAAAGCCATTGCTGTCATCTTGTGCGCCAGCGGCGGCGGCGGCGGCGGCAGAGTAAACGATGCTTCTATTGCGACAAGAGAGGAATGTTTACATCTGAAGATTAGCAAGGATGAGAGTAAGACGGTGTTTACTGAGGTTCGAATCCCGCCATATCGTCGTTTATGGCCAGCTTGCACAGGGCTCTCGCAAGTCAGAACAATAGATGATCTACATTTGTCGCAGTCTTAAATTGTTCCAATTAAAGTTCCGACGGAAGTCAGGCGACCGCTCAAAAATATTACCACAACCGTGGGTGTGATTAACCGAGCACTGTTAGTGTCAGTGTGGATGATCATCTAGCGGCCTAATATGTGGCGTTAACCTGGGTTGACCCGAAATAAAGCCCGACAAAGAAGACTATGCCTATATCTTATGAATCAACTTATAATCATTCTGCAAACGACACTTCTTAACACCCACACCAAGGCGTGACGGTATTACCATTGAAACTGTCGAAGATCGAGAACGCACGGAGTTCCAGCAGGCACAATAGAACTCCTGAGAAAAGAACATTACCAAATCTGAAAACGTTTTACGAGAAAGCTAAAATTACAAAGAGCTGAATTGAACTGACAACACTTGTCTCTAAAAGATCGAAAGAGCGATAAGGTACCGCGAGTTCTAAAACTAACATTTCCACAAGAGCCCGACGCTGGATTAGTGGGAAAAACGTTTAATTGATTTATCGGGGTCCCTTACAGAATCCTGTCTCCTGGCTCTTTATCTTTCGAAGCTATTAATACCTTTCCCGGAAACCTCCAATGATACCTTGCCTGCACACATTCTGTAAAATATCTCCTAGTGAAGCTATTTGCTAGTAAAATCAATACAACCATAAATGAAGACAGGTACCGTTGTGTTTCAAGCGGACGATATTTCGATAAAATAGTCAGACCCGACGAAGAATCCTGCCGACTAACCAGCGGTCCGCCAATGCTGCACTATTGAGCTAAACGATGTCCAGTATTAGAGAAGATCAGTTTTCAAAGGAAGCAAGGTGCTTAGGTGTTGGAAAACTTGTTTCAACACCTTCCAAAAAAAAATTTTCAGAATAAGCGTTCCGAAGCACTCTGAGTATAAACTGGACTCCCTAAGGTTCCTCTTTAATACGACGTGCATTCCTTTATTTCATCGATGACTTAGAGACTTCTCGATAAGCTATTCGTACGGCAATACTTTTCACTATTCTATAATAAATTCACTAAAAGAAATACACGTAACAGTTGCAAACTACCTTAAATCAAACAGGATTGTTTTGAATATAAGGACATCGCGAATTTTCATCAATCGCCATTCATGAGTTGAAAGGATTACGAATTTAATTTCTTCGAATAAGCAACGAAGCCTGACTTGTTTTACTAGTATCTAATAGTGCGTGCTTCATTTGTCAGCCGCGCGTTCAATTGTACCAGTCGTTAGTTATTTTTTTTCGTTAACGAATTTGTCAAGAGGAACAACATCCTGGCAGCGGCTCGCGTAGCAGAGAGTCGAGTAAAATCTCATACAGTTGGATCACGGTAACCAGGCATAACAGCTTTTAACTATATGTTGCGTTGATCAATGTTTTTTTTATACTAGTTAAATAGATTTATTTCTTATTTGACTTGTAATGGCTAATAGCTCAAGTCAATAATATAGATTGATCTGTGCTATACATTAGATGAATACGGTTCTAATCTAGAATCAAGGCTAAATGGGCCAACCTAGATACCTGAATGGAAGTTGCAAAGATTCTTTTACAGAACCCTTTTTTTTTAGCGTATAACGTCAACATCATTCTCCTATTCGCTAGCCATACTCTATTGCACGACCTAAACATATTTGCGTATTATATTCATCATTGCATATAGTTCCGTGAACATTCGTGCTATTCGTGGCACATAGTCGGACAGATATACATGGCCCTACGGAAGCTCACATGGCAATCAATCGATAGCTCGTCATGTCACGTTCCGTTGTCCTGAATCGAGCTAATTACGTATCTCAGGTAACCCAAGTCAATAGATATAAATAGGAAAAATTTATTTCCTAACTTCTCCATAACTTCCAATGATAACAGTGATAAAAAACTTCTAGTAGATAGAAATGCTATCAACAGTGGTAGCGCTCAATAAGTGTTACACGTAAGTGACAAGTCTGCTGCCAGTTACGTTACACTAGCAGCACACGTGACACGTACAAAATGTAGTCCTTATCGATTACAGTGTTTCCTCAATAAACTTCCCTGTCAAGCAGGAGATCGTATCGTTTAGCTAAACTGGCACTTACAACCAAAGCTCTAGCGATAATACTCGCCTAATAGTCTCATATAGATAATAATGATGACGAATTTTTCTTTTATTTCATGCTGCATTCACATCATTACTCTACATTTGCGGGATTATTTTCCATTAGAGATCTATTGTTGGGTATAATTTCAGGCTTCTCTTGACCTGATAATATGGGCTGCCTTTTATGGAACTCCATTCATCCGCATGATTAGATCGGTTCGTGTATTTTCGAAACTTAACGATTTATCCATTAGACGCTTCATGTGTGCAAAAGTGTATTAGAATCGTATGCACAGTATTTCAGAAAAATCATTTAGAAATTAATAGTACTTCTTCTATTCTTATAACAATACCTCTAAAATAGCAATTTTATCTATATTTAGTTAGAATTAGGTCAGTCTTATCGCAGTTATGCGTTCGATCTTTTCAGAACTTCTGTGCCTCCTTTTCGACAACGGTACTTGCAGAAAAGTTTCACTACTTGAATATTTAACCGATCGTATTGTGGGCAGATTGGCCAACGCACGAAAGCTCACACGACCAACTCAGATTAACATATGTCCTAATGTATTCCCATTGGTCCTAGGCCGCAGCCTATATCACCATTAATCCAATGCTCATTCAAACGTCTACTAAACGATATCAAATACATATGCTGACTTCCCTATGCTAATAATTAGCTATAAGAATTATTCACTTGATAGTAATATTCAAGTCAGTCGACTATAATTATCGACAGAATTAATATAAACTCCGAGTCTAGTAGTCTAGGGATACTTTTGCGTTACTGTCTTGCGAAAATACGAACTGTTTATGTGTTCTCTTTGCAATATTGTGACACACCTGGATGTCGCTGATACGCTGTAGATGTGCTAGATTGTTCTAAGGTTGTTTCAGAAGATATCTGCAACCTCAGTAACTTGCTTTCCGTATTCCTTTCTGACGTTTTATTTTCTGAAATTATATATCTGAAGATTATACCAAAAGCTAAGGAACAAGGTTTTAGCTTAATAATGACTTTCAGTTTCAGGTGTCATGTCTTGTTTTTTTTTATACAGCAGTGCTGCTAAGCACCCACCAATTAAATCCGGAAATGATTTGAAGTTACAGATATTATCTACTGAAGTGGTTGTTACAATTAATTAGTTTACTAAGGCCGAATATTTGTGAATCCACATTATGAGGTGGTTCCGTAGTGCAGTGCATAAATAGGTCATAAGCCATCTACCAGCTATGGCCATTGGACAGAAGGGCATTTTTTTAGAATTCTGTGCCGCACGCACCAGAACATTTCCGTGATTCTAGTAGTCATAGGTGAATATAAACTCAGTAAAAAAAAATTAAATTCTGTTGTTAAGGAAAATGCCCACGTGTGAATATAGTAAATCGAACACGTGGTTTCGTCGTATTCGCTGGACCTTGAATAAGCTATCAATTGATGCTATAAGCAGTAATACAGGGGCAAATAAAAGTGCTCAATTGTCAAGTATATTTATCGTTAAGAAGCAATTGCCGCGTCTGGGTCTGGAGTGATTGAAACCTTTTATGATAATGAACGTTAAAAATCTATGCGCACAATGTCGTAACTTATTTGACACATATTAATCCTACTTAACTAGATATACCGACTATGTTGTAGATCCGTTATGAAAACGTTCACTTTGGTGATGTACTTGTCTTTTGCAAAGAAAAAAATTTTATAGCAAAGAACCATCCTTGGGATACCTACTATGAAAAACTTATAAAAATATAAGCACTACTATCTGCCAGATATATGAGTGAGCGACTATTTTACAAAGCAAATAAACATATCTTCAGGAAGTTATACCGCGCGAAGTCTACACCTGTATTGCTATCTGACGTAATAACGGCAAACGATCAATTCGGTTGCTTCTTGAATATTGACGATAGCATTACCGTTATCGACATGAATGCAACCAATAAAATGTATTATTATTATTATTATTATTATAAAATAAATTAATGTCCTATTACTCAGACGATAGCACTGACTACTTAAACTAGCGTCTTGCAGCTATAATTTACTCGCTATCACACGATGGTCGCTAAAATAACCTTACTATTTGACTGAATTGCATATGTGCGCTTTGGGTATCAATGCATATTATTGTATGGTCGTATATATTTCATTGCTGGTCTCGAAGTAGTTTACAATTTTTCAAGCGGTCCACTAACGCGACTGTTATGACATTTTTGGCGGGCGTTTCAAAAACTTGTGCGCCGCTAATGATCAATTCTCATGGATTGTTGGCCTAAGCAATAGAACACTTTTATTGTTTCCAAACATATTATTGCTGCAGCTACATATATTTTTGCTGATTCCTTTATTAAAAATATCAAGCCTTTTAATATCATCTGATAGAATTCAACTGTTTTTTCCTATTATTGAAAATATGCATAATGCCGTTTTGCACTAACAAATTTTCTATTCAATTTCTATTTAAAAAATCTTATATTATTTTGTATATAATTATTTGTTTTAACTGTAACAATGACTCGGAGTTCTTAACGGATAGAATTTTATTTTTAAACAATAGATCGAAGTCAATTACGATATGTTGCATCTATGAATACAGTTATCTGTTACAATTAATCTGTACGAACATTTGATTTAATGTAAAAACACTTTATTTTTTTTATAACACACAATAAGAGTGTAATCCTGCGATAATGGTGTAATTCGCAAGTATATATATATATATATATATATATATATATATGTAGATTTGATGTTTTCCTATCTTCATGTAGCAAATTCTACCAGCTTTTGAGCTGTACCACGTATGCTCAACTCACCTAGAGATAGCGACGCCGACTACAGTAGCATAACTTCAGTGAACAAAGCGGTTAAAATAAACGAGAATAGCTTCTCCAATGGACAAGATCGAAACAGATTTTTAAAAAGAGAACTCACATTACTTTCTGATTGTGTATCAGATCTAAAGTCTATTGCATTACCGTACATTTTGCAAACTAATACTAAATTATATATATATATAAGCACAAATATACTTAGAAAGCAGATTTTTTTTGAATGTAATGTACTAAAACGACCATGATATCTATAGGAAATTCTTTTTTCATCTTATTAGAAATGTTCGGTGGCAATCGTTTGTTCAGCCAGAGCCTGTCTCTGTCTTGATTATGCGTTTAGACTAGATGTTTTGATCACGCCAGGAAGGTTAGTTCTTCGACGTGCACTGAAGTCACTTGACCATAGAGAACTGACGCAGAACGTCAGAGAAAGTTGAACTTTTTAACTACATATGCGAAGATATATGGCCGCAGTCGGCATAATTGTTCGTGTTTGCATATTTAAGACGACTGCTTTCGCTGTTGTTCCGTCTCAGAGTAAAGTCCATATTTTCAAGTCGGTGATCAAAAACAGCATTCAATGTTCCGCTCATCGAAACATTTAGGGATTTGTTTACTGGCACCATTTTCATATCATCACCGCCCTAAACAACCAAATATAGACAAATACATCTTGTAACTAGAAAGTAATAAGTTGTTTCTGTAATCTGGTACGAAGCCAACTTACGAATAAGAAGAAATCGAACATTTCTACATTTTTTACCTCTTTTCCCTGCGAGGTCAGAAGCTTCTCCTTATATCGTTCGAACGGTACAAACGTTTTGATGAACTGGTTGTATAGCGGACTTATCAGCCGATCATCGACCTAGATCCAAAGAACACAGAACAGTCTTTGTGCAGTATATATAAGACTGTAATAGATCATTGATAAAGGCAGTATGCAATTTTTTTCGATACTATTAATGTGAATTTAATAACTTCAGACATTAAAAAAACGACTGGAAAAAGCGAAAAATTTTATATAGGCGACAAGCATCTCAGCTTACAAAGGCTTGTCATTACTGATATGCACAGATGTGCTACTTATTTTTACGGATTCCAAACAGTCGATTGGAACTCAATCATTCATTCATTCGTCGTAGTTGCCACACTGAGATCTGTTTTAACGCACCTACCTGAAGTTGGACAAAAAGAAGTGTCTCTGAATGTCGTCTATTCCTACTGCCGGCGCGCTTCCGATCACCCGCGCGCGCTATACAATTCTATTCAACGTCAGGACATAGGTGCATTGAGGCTAGTTATAAAATTTTCAATCGGTGTAGCAATGCCTAGTTGACCGTCATAACAATTGTCGTCGAAATTGAAAATGCTTTCCGCTTGAAGCGTTTTGCCGCGTTCATATCATAGTATGCAATATTTGCATAAAATTTTGGCCTATCCGTAATATAATTTGGCAAAATGCGTATCGACGATCTGAAATCCTACACAAAGAAAGTGACGAACTGGCATTGTGAAAGGTCAATAGCATCACGAATGAGTGGTCGAATATACCTTTCTCTAAATGTGTTTCATTAGACATAAAAGCGCATACAATGATTCAGTTTCTAAATAATTTTCCGAAACATAATGGGTACGGGTGTCGGATTCGACCGCTCGGTGAATTTCCGGGCGCAGGTTGCCTGCAGCTAAAGCGACATCTCACACCTGCAGTCTGATTTTAAGGATCGTTGACTAAAGCGATATTGTAAGCATGCCCCTTAGGCGTACGAAGCCCTGAAGTGCTTCAGTGTTCATAGTACATTTGAGCTCCTTCCAGCCACGAGACCTCGTCTTTCTCTGGCTGTCAAAGGACTAGCATATAGTATCGTATTGCTCAATATGAGGAAATTACAAAAGAAAGAGCTGAATTTACAACCGAGAAAAACAGACTCGTCATAGAAATATTACGGATCATTTTGTAATGAGATCTTGTGATTTCTGGAGTGCGAATTGTGTACAGCCCTCAGAAAAAAAGCACAACGACATTACTAATATTGCCGTTACCTTAAAATTGGTCTCAACTTTCTTATACTATTCCTAAATCTTTCTGCAAAAGGGAGACTCATATTGTATTGATTGGCTTTAAGGCAAATGTCAATTTTGCTTAAAAATTGTCATATACGGCATGTCTAACGAAGAAGAACATTGTCTAACGAAATATATAATAGTTGATAATGTCAGCTACGAATTTCATATAAATGGACCTGTTTTGGGATGGTGCATCCAGTGCAAACAGAGACCGGTAACCCAACGACAATGACCAACAGTGTCGCTATCATCGAGTACCATACGTAAGAGATTCGGTAGAACCAGACGATCTCCTTTGCAGTCGCGGATGACGATAACCTTATAAGAACAATAGTTACAATTAAATATACCTGCTAACCTAACTATGCCTTATCTATTGCGTTGGAGGCTAGAAGATGACCATGCCAGTGACATTATTAATTAAAGCTACTAAGAAGAAATATTATCGTAAATATACACTCAAATCTGAGTACTGCCAAACCTCGCAGTTCCCATAACAAAAAAGGTAAGGCTTAACAACTGTGAAACATTCAACGGCGCAGCGTTCTGTCGTTGTTATTTTACCGGCAGTCAAAATGATCAAAATAACAAATTACAATTATGTTTACCATACGATTTAATGCACTTGGAAGGAGAATAGGTTTGGAAAAAATTATGCAATGTGGAAACTGAACGTATCTTACAAACTTGTAGGAAGCCATACTAATACTGGAACATTCGGGTACATCTTCAATGAATGCTATTAGAAGCATTACGCAGTTAAGCTTCCCAATGAAGCCAAATAAGGTAACTATTTATTTTTTCATCAAAAACTAATACGAAATAATAGATCTATACGAACTGTGTAGGTAAGGTAGCGTTGATCCAGGTAGGACAGCCAGCAACCGAAATAGGAGCGGGCGACACGGGCGGCTTATAGATGAAGTTTCCAATGCCAATCCAGAAAGTGAGAGCCAGTGATATCAAAAGACCTACTACGGCGCCCTATAAACCATAGCCGAAAAAGTTACATGTTACAAGGATACGGTAAGAACTGATTTTAATACAATTCATCGCCAGCTCAGCCAAGGGAATACCAAATTATTCGCAAATAAACGTGAGAGGATGCGTTTGCGGGCAAAAAAAGCCCCAGATCAGTGTTTTTTATTCTTATTTCGTTTTCAGACACAACGAATTCATTTTGAGCTGTGAGCGTGTACGGCACATTTATTTAATTAAGCTTTGACCACTGATGTTTGACCATCTATGTACGTTCAACGTAGACGTTATCTTGTACGAATACATTATGCGATGTTTATATGTGATTTTAGTTCCAGGTTGAACATAATGTGTGTCCTGAAGACTTCAGGGGAACCTATCCTAGAAGCCAAAACATGCGCTCTCCCTGTACGGGCTCTGATCACTTTTAAAAAAGCTATACTTGAGCGAGAACATATCGTTAATAAGTATCTCCGCCAAAGCAACAAACTTTGTGAAAAAAAAAAAACGTTTTCTCTTAAATTGTCAAATGTCTCTTTCTAAACGGAAAAATACCTACGCTCAAATATCGCACATATTAGCAGTTAGAAGTTATGTGTTGCCCTCTTAAAGAATTGCATATCCCGAATGGTCGATTCTATCGCGCTAGATCACATACTGTGCTCTGTACGGGGTAGATGCTTAAGAAAATATCGTTTTCAATTGAATATTTGCAGTTCTATAAGGACCTGTTTAACAGTAAGATCTACAAGTCACTTAGTTGTTTTGATTGCAGCTTTAAGTGCTGAATCGACCTACCGCGCCTATTTTTTTTTTAATTCGGTCTACTACTGTTTTCTCTGCTGTATGTTCCGGATGTTCGACGGGACGGTAAGCTAAGTTTAATGTCTGCGATCTGAAGAGTGCACGGGTTGGAATATATTCCATGAACTATAAGTAAAGCCTAATTGTCGGGGGTTAGTAGTGGTTACTGGTCCAATAGATTCGAAAAATTATTTGAGATTATGGTTTTGATGCGCAAATATTGACTTGTTTAAGTAAACTAAAGGAAAAAGAATAATAGCCCTTATCGAACGACATTCGAATTTAGCCATTGAACACCCTAATTTGAATATTGCGGGCAAAACTGCAGCGGAGTCAACAGGCGACACATTTGTCACTACTGAATGCAGACAACCTTTCCTCTACGATATTAAATCTGAGCACAATTTATAAAAACAGATGCAGTCTCAGATTATTCGAATTTTTTATAAAATATATGTATATATAACTTCAAAATACACACCGCAGGTATACGTCTAGTCACAAGAAAACTCTACATATGCCATATGAGGTACATTTCTGCGAAGTTGTTTATAATAAGCATTACAGCAGTTTCTTATGACCTAGCCTACAGACCCAGAGAAAGTCCGTCTTAAATTCATTCATTTCAATTTAAATGACTAATATATTTGCAGTTGTCAGTTATGAATAATTGACACGTAGCTAATCAAGGCTATCTGCGTTTGTCTCCTGCAGTAAACGCCACACTTCTCAAAAGCTTACGTGCTTATTAGCTTGAGGTATAAATATTCCTAATGTGAAGACGCCAAGTATGGGCCCACCAAGGATACCGAAGGTGGCCAGAGCTGCTTGCAGAACATTTCCAAGCTGCTGGGCGACGTAAACCAAAGCAATGGCCAAAACTCCGAAGAAAATCGCTGAGATGTTGCAACAGCAAATTCAGATGAAACGGTAGTACATTAAGATTATCAGATTCGACATAGTGAACATAGGGTATGTAATTGAGCATGGGACAGGCATAGGTAAAGACTATTAAAATCAGCAAAAACTTTTTTGTGAAACAGCCAGTGATTCTAATTCGAAGTGATAATTCACATATTCGCCTGTAGAGGACAAAACGGGTATCTTCAAAAATCTTTATCGCATAAGAAAAACAGTCATCCATTCTAGTTATAAAATTTAGCGCCTATCTAAAAATACTGCTACAAAAAACTGAATAGTAATTGAACAGCATCAATATTGCTGCACGCAAAACGAAAAAGGTGCATAGATAGCAAAATATACCGAATGCTTTGGTCACCCATGTCGCCATCTGGTCAGACAGTTCTCGTTCTAAATAGCCTTTGACGACATCTTCTAGAGCAACAGTTGCTAAAGAGTTGACGCTTGAGCTGACTGTCGACAAAGCCCCACTGAAAATCCCTGAAACAAAAAATCCAGGCAACCCTGGAAAGAAGCTGCATGGAAAAGGTAGGTTATGATTCCACTAGTCCGTATGCCTGTGACAAATATTTTATCTGCAAAGAATCATAGCTATAGCTGGGTTTCAGCTGTCTTCGTTCTGCACATTTTACCGAAAGGAACAGTATATGTAATGAGGTAGCGGGGTATCCCAATAGTCCTAAGTACCAAAAGCGGCTATGTTTAATATGTATCTGATCGTGCTGATAAACATCTTCGTGGTAATCGAAGGATTAAACGTCTACTGGACCGAACTAACTAACCCCCCTTGGTTTTTTTTACTCGATCAAAGATGAGGATGAAAGGATAAAGGATTAAAGCTGTAGATTGCTATCATATCGAAACAGATCATTTCGACCTTGAGAAGAGCACTCGTAAATCAGGCAGACAGGGCCCTATGGCGGCTATAGCACACAATCGAAGAAAGCGCTTGATATATCGTTCAACCGTTTGTCGCAAGATACTAACCCTAACGTGTCCATAACGAAAAGTGGCAAAAGCTGATCGGTAGCTACAATGCGTTTTGCCTGAAGGGGGTCGCAGCTGTGATACTTGGCGAACATCACCAGCCCCGCTAGGGAGCAAACGAACAGCAGGAACACCAAACCTAGTAAAATTAAACCATATTTATTTCTAAATCATATTGTCTAACTGATATAAAGCGATGAGAACAATTTCTGTGATTTAACTTTACGTTGAGTTAGAAAAGAATATATTAACGAATCGCTTAGACGGCGATACAGGGTTTCATTGCACAAGCTAATTATCTGCTGTAGAATAATTTGGGCTGTCTATAATCAACCTGTTGCAACACTATGTATTATGAGAATAACTATTACCGGGTAAATTAAGCCATATGGCCCGTCGAGCTTTTTCCTCAGACGATAAAGTTAAATAACGCTGCACCATTGCTTGAGAAGTACCGTAAATTGAAAGCCAGGTAAAGTTACAGCCGATGATCAGGCCCCAAACCGTGTGCCTGTCGGTAGGATCCGGGTTGAAGCTGAAGAACGGCGAGAAAATGTATTTAGACAGGTTACCCATGAAATTTATCGTTGTTGTACATATGACCGTGATTGCAGCCTTCTAGGTGTAGAAAAATAAGTTCATTGCCGGTTTCAATCCTTGGAAAACTTGCTTCGGGATTGATTCAAAATTTTCCAAAGAAAGTATTTACATCGTAATGTTGTTAAACTCATTCATCATTTCTAGAGCAGTATTTTTCATATTAATCTATCATACGTTGTCGATTGGGGGGTAATATCTACGTTAAGATATTCAAATGCGACCATAAAGGTAGAGCTAAGTTAGGCTAAAATAACAAATACGATGTCATCTTCTGAATCAGTCAGTGAGCTTACGGAGGCATCCGCGTCAAGACACCATTAGACATCTCAGTAAGGCAGCTGGAAACTAAATAACTTGTATCAACGATTATTTGAATCTGCAAGGCGGATTATTGGTGAATCATAGAAGAGATCTTCGGCACGTACGGCGTTTGTTAAGACTATATTATATTTGGCTAAATGATTAGAGCTAGGCAGAAGGTTTCAGAGTTGTACCTTGCATCCATGAGTGTGTACATCTTTAAACATTTTTTTTACCGAATACAGCAGTATAGGTAATAAGGTAGCTGGGTATTCCGACAGTGCTCAGTCGAAATTAAAGTCACCTATCGAGATCATGCGATTGTCACGTTAGGTAATTTAAAGCCTACGACGTGAAGTTGAATACGCTCGCCAAAAGCGAATATCTGTATCTCCGTAGTATTGATAGCTACGCGTGGCCTTTATTTTTGCCTTTGAGGCTAGTCTGAAACTCCGTGATGTTCTCAATCCAAAACTCAACTGTATTGGCCATCATTCCCATTTTATGTGAAATGATAGGATATCGAACCAAGTGTTGCTTTCGCTCGACGGGTCTGAGGTTCTGCAGATTCGAATCAGATGGCAATAGCAAGGCAAATTGCTGTGTACGCGCGTATTGGCTACAATTTTGTCAAAAAAAAAAGGCCGAACATCCCAGGCTTAAGGTAGTAACAGAGGGCAACAGAGCACCCTCATAAACAAGGTTCTTTTGGTAACCACATCCAGGCGATGCAGGGGAGAGAACCCTTGAAGAAGCCTTCTCATTCAAGTCGACGCTGCTGTTGTTGTTGTCATTGATATGGTCAATACCTGAGTACAGGTACACAGGGCCATCTTGTGTACCAGCCTGGCGGGCTTTTTGGAACAAGTTGAGAACGTAGCAGGGTTGTTTATAGATGGGCTGTTATTAAGGAGTAAATAACGCCTATGTAAATTGCAACTGTTACCGCCGCTACAGTCGCTATTGTCGTTTGTCGCTAGTGTTCGCATTATGTAGCCGATTTATAGAGGCTGTTGTTTGATGGTAGCGATTCTAACAAGAGATATGCAGCCGAATTTTTCCAAACATCAATTGAAAATACTGCAAATCCGGGCGATCGAAACTGTTCGCGTTCTGTATCGCTCTGCCAATCATTGGTTCTATCGTACAGGAGTTCGATCGGTAAAATAGAAGTTGGCGACGTCATGACGTTCACGTGCCCCTTTGACGCTGCATGTGCCGTGTTGCCCCAACTGCTACAGCGAAGTCGAAGAGTAACATATTAATGGGCCTGACAATCAAACGTGGAAAATCAGCAGTGGATTCAGTGGAATTGATGTGTTTTGTCAAGGTCTTCGATACCGCCGAGTAGAAACATACCTAAAATTAACAGTGGATGCCTGGCGCAACATCAGGTCGAAAGGAAGATTCTTCACGTTTAGGATACAAACTTAAAAAAAAATTCACGTTTAGGAGCTAAAACCTATAACGCTTTTAGCCTATGAGGTAAGTGGTCATCGTTAGATGAGTAGAACACTAGAAAAAGAACTAAACAGAAAAACCACGTCAAAGATAGCATTTGAATTCTAGTTTCTCGTAATGCACTATGATAATTACTTTGTACCCATGTTTCCGGTAATTTAGTATCAATTGTAGCATTGAGAACTCTAAGCTTAGTTCTTTCATTTTCAATCGTATCATGTAGCATTATTATTGTTACTTCGATGGTAACCTATTTATAGGGAAGTTTGCGGCACCTTACGAAGCCTTAAGAGACAACTTGACCTTAATTTTTAACGAACAATTTTCCCATGAAAACGTTGTTGAGATTTTGTGCTTTGTGAAAATGATATCTGATGACGGACAGTCTGCATTCTCGTCACGGTGATTCTTACATAGTGAGGTCGAGCGCTGTTGACCAACAAGAATAACTAATTACTATTTAGTAATTTGGCCGATAAGCCGCCACCGATCGGACATTATAAGGTGTTATTGCTATACATTTGCCTCCTTTAGGTGATCTCCTTTAGGATCGGTTGAATCCACCCACCACCAATATAACCGTCTGTGATTATCGTAGAGGGTTAATTTTTCATCATACGTCGAAATTCGATGCAGGAGTGCGCCACTATTGTCACGTAAGGGTGACGATAAAGAAGCGTCATCACGTTCCTGCTTTTCTTCTCGCTTAAATCATGCGGCGTGAGCTTTTACATACACCAGACCTAAGTGCTAATACTCATGCACTCTGAAATGAATCGGTTTTCGTCACAAGTTTTACTACAGATATGAACTGTTCGCTATTCATCTTCGCAGAGAATCTTCCACAATAAGGATTTTTTATTTCAAAAGTAACTTCCTGCCATTTTTTGAACCAGTCCTTCACGGCGCTTCTAGCAGTAGACACAGGTTTCTTCACAGGTTTATACAACAAGCTACCTTCGCTGCTACAGTTCTCAGACAGAATTAATCAGCCAGTTAGATTTCCATAATTCACTGGAACCGACGCGCTAAAAACACGGGTGACGGTGTTCGAGTGAACAACGTTCAGAATTCAAAGAGTCGAAATACATCTCGAATGTAAAAAAGGTTCCGCGAAACGCCGCAGGGTCGTCGTCATAAGATAGCGCCATCTTGAAATATGAAATTCATGTTCAATACCGAACCACCCAGTATGCAGTCAGGTTAAGGTAATATTCCGATACCAGACGGAAGCATTATTTACTGGTTATCCTCGCCAAATACGTGAAGCACAGTGGTTCCAATCTGTGCGCCCATTCTATGTGGCCTTTTCAACTACAGACGCCATTTAGGAGGCATTAATGACTCATCTGAGTCGCAATTTGAAGGAGGGTTCAATGCTCTTCTAGGATTCTTCGTACGAGCCTATTGATTTCCGTGTTCCTCACTTGAAAAATGTGATCCGATCATGGATGGCGGCCGTTTTGATGACGTTATCCATTCCTCCTAGGTCCGTGGAGCCCTTGATCACTACAGCCATAATGGAAGCGTACATTATTCCGATCTGAAATGCGTCTGTCCAAATTACAGCTTTAATTCCTCCCTGAAATATATTGCACGAAGAAGATGTTCCGCTGAGTTATAGATTTCACGTACTAGTATATATATATATAGATTATCAGAACACCTCAAGGAATGGCTTTACTCCTTATCATAGCTAACATAAACCGTTGTGCATTTTGGGCAGCGAAATCTCAGTTTCTGCTCTTATCTTGAATAAAAATTGTCCAAAACAAAAGATATAGCTATATTTACAGTACAACGCCCATACGAGTGGGAACGCTAACAGGCTAATTGATTAACGCGATGATATTTTACAGCTGTACAAACAATCTTCAAACAAAACAAAGACTTCAACAGTGTGAAGCTGAAGAATTCAGAATACGAATTGTCTATCGTTGTAATCGTATATGACGACTCATTTGAAGTGGTGGAAAAACGCTCGAACGAACAAGCTGGAATGATGCTAGAAGTAGAGTGCTCCTTTACTAGGGCTCGGATGAATATACAAAGCATTGACGTCAATCGGACAAAAGATTCTGCTGCAGGAAGCGCAGTACCCAATAACAGTCGATTGAGTACAGTTTACTAACGCATCAACAGCTAATAGCAGAAACGCGTAAAGTTTACCACTTATCTCTAATATTTTTTATGTGGAGCTAAGGTGGATCGTTGCGTTTTATTTATTTTAGGTTAGAATACGGGATTAAACAAAATGTGGGATATATGGCTACTCGTTCGAGTGATTTAGGCTCGAGCCTTAATTGATACCGGTGTATTCTTATAATTATAAATTTAATAATATATATTTAATAAAAAGCATTCATCATTTTTACCACAACCTGAACGTTGTACGCGGTGAAGTTACATAGACATCATGCAAAATACAGCTTACAATAGATGTGTAAAAGGTGCAAACGGTGCCTATCGACAACACCGAGGTCCAGACGCTGATACCTGTCACCTGGGATAACGCTAAAGACGGGGCGTACAGGACGATGGCCATATATACAATCTGAAAACAAAGCGATCGGGGTCAACTATCATTAAGACAGCATCATTTTCAATAGAGCACCTACTGTACAAATGTGCTTGACCATTTAACGACTAACGATCATCTGTTTATCGTTGCCTGAGACAAAACTGCTTAGTAACGGCTGCATTTGATTTGTCTAACAACGCAGTGAGGTAACGTGGTCAATCACCTACGTTCTACCAGCAGGAAGGAGTGTAGGACGATTTACGTTATTGCAACATGTGGCCGATCTTTAATCTAAGCTAGCTCTCCGTATCGTCGTGTGCCCGGCTTATACTAGGTTGCCCGAAACAATGGTTGTGTTTTGATGGTATCTGGTAAAGGAAATGTATACGCCTATGTAGGAAACAAATCAATATTGTTTGTCGATATTTAGCTGTATAGTGTCTTTATAGTATAAAGGCCACAGAAACTATAAAGTAATTTATGTACAGGAAGCGAATCAAAAAAAGTAACCGTCATTGCGATATAACGCAAAAGAATCTTCAGCGACAGCGTATTGCTCCAAATGATATTTTGTAAGTATTGACCAGCCGGTACCCACAATGAAAATATGAGATTTTCAACACGACAAACAAACAACGCAGGCTTAACGCGTCAGAGACGCTTGTATGTATCCAAAGGTGTATGCTTTTGCGGAAACAGCGCTTATCTTAGGTAGTGATGGATGATTAACCCAAATCTTCTCTGTAACATGTTGTTGGTAAACATTGTTGGCTTTCTAAAATTTTTTTAGGCGATGCGCTGTATATATGCCTAAATTATTACTTTGCCGTATTACAATAAATACCATATTACGTTTTTATCCTAGGGCATTGCTTCTATACAATTAACTAAGTGATTATCGTTACTAAACGACAATTATTGAGTCATGTCTATGTTTAAATGCTTCGTTTTTTTTTATACGACGACGTGTGCCAATGATTTTTTTTGTTGTCAATTAATTTTCGAGGTTTACTTGATGGACACACAAGTGGTGCAGTTCGTCTCTGCTGTTACATTGGAGGATGTTTGTAATGTCTACCCATAGGTCAGGCGATTTCTAAATTATTCCAAGTTTCGAAATTCTAACTAAGTCGCCCCCTAATATATGGAACGGCTTTAAGCGCTTCTTGGCTTTTCCTTGCACTGCGACTGATCACCTGTCATTGAAAGAACTAATCTAATATGAAATGTATAGTTAGCAAAGGCTATTTAAAATAACTCTATATTATACCTGTATCTAGGCAACCCTATTCATACCTTAATTTCACGAGACGAATTCCCATCCCAATTTGTTTGACCCAATCTCGTTTGTGTGTATATCGTTGTGACGAATAACGCGACAGTTTTGTATATGCTAGTTTGTTTTGTTTACTCGTATACTTGAACAGGTGTAAAAATTTAATTTATTGCGTTTATCCAGTGTTGTCCTGTAGGTCTTTATAACAACATCGTATAGTCCACGTAGTATCCGATGATTTAAAAAAATTTTTAAAAAAAGCAGTAGCTCTGAGACTTGCTATAAGATTTTATATACATATATATATATATATTAACCAAATCTTCTCTGTAACATGTTGTTGGTAAACATTGTTGGCTTTCTAAAATTTTTTTAGGCGATGCGCTGTATATATGCCTAAATTATTACTTTGCCGTGTTACAATAAATACCATATTACGTTTTTATCCTAGGGCATTGCTTCTATACAATTAACTAAGTGATTATCCTAACTAAACGACAATTATTGAGTCATGTCTATGTTTAAATGCTTCGTTTTTTTTTATACGACGACGTGTGCCAATGATTTTTTTTGTTGTCAATTAATTTTCGAAGTTTACTTGACGGACACACAAATGGTGCAGTTCGTCTCTGCTGTTACATTGGAGGATGGAGGATATATATATATATATACGCACATCTTCTGTTAAATAGATATTATCTTAATTTAATAAGGATCATTATTATTATTATTATTATTATTATTATTATTATTATTATTATGGAAGAAAATTAGACGTACCATTTGAATTGAAAAGATCAACGTCGCTAGCATTCGACAGGTTTTGCTAAACCGACGTTCCAGGTACTGAAACGAAATATAAGATATACGAATTAGAACGAACAAGTTTTTATAAGATTTTGGTTTTTAATATCTACTGCTTGACGAGCAAGTGGAAATCGTGAGAAGGTTTAATAACTATTAGATTTAATCTACATTTTCGATCATAGTCATCAATCAGCGATCAAGCAGTAATGCTTACTTCGTGTGCGCTGGTCAGCTCCAAACGGTAGAAGACGGGCATATACAGATAAGCAGCTGACGGAATAACGATGAAATAGCTTAATATAATGAGCATATACTGAGTTCCGAAGCGATACATTTCCGTAGCTGTTCCGAGAATTGTAATAGCAGACAAGAACGAGGCCAGGATCGAAAGTGAAACAGGAAACACCGGCAGCGATCTAATTATATTAATTAGTAAATTATACTAGTTATTATTATTCATTTTACTAATAAGATTCACATTGTAAAATAATGCGTTTGTTTATAGGGCTTCTGTAAAATTGTTAGAAAACAAAGCAACCTATAGAAGTTTCAAATTAAGCATAGTTTTTCGTCAGATTACCTAGAATACTTGTGTGATTTCCCTGTCACTTAGGTAACCCCGTTTCGGCGCTTATTCTAATTTTAACCATCACCAGTAGCAAATAGGGCATAAGTAAATCTGTGCCACCTACTGGATTAGGCGAGAAAATACCATCGAAAGGTAGAAAAAATGTCTTCGTCGAAAATATACGGACGCAAGCTGATGCCTATACTCGTAGTGGATCAGCACGACATTTGTTATCATGAGATATCACCCAAAAAGTAGCAGTCAATATTTAGATAATTCTAATCTTACCATCGCACCATCTTACCAGCATTACTTCAATCGCGGTCTAAGTTACTATCCCAAAAAAAAAAGATTTTGCCTGTAAATATAAACAAGCCCCAAGTGCAATCGTTCAATAATATTGCACAAGTTACAATATCTGATGAATCAGTCCTGATCATACAACCTGCGTTCCAACGGAGGCGATGCTTCTGGCAAGGCTATTTCAAATAATCCTGACCACCCACAGTTGCATCTGCAGCCGGTTGCTGGACGTTTATCAGAGATTTTCATCATGTCACGTCCGCTACCACTGAAAAATTTGAGTCTATTTCTGTTCAATTTTCTGAGCTCTGGTAGTCATGGGAGAACCGGGCGAGCGCTTGAAAGTTAGCTAAAGCAATTCAATTCTTGGTGAAATTGCAACTCGTACGCTTGTTCTACGCCTCTTTGAGAAAAACGAAGACATACAGTATCCCCAATCGGTTTAGAAGCCCACATTTGTCCGGGATGAAGGTAAAACGGGCTGGGTGAAGGGACCGGCGATAAAGCAGTTTTGGTTACAATTCATTCGGCTTTTTACAGACCCTTACATACAGATTTCAGCCGCATTTACCTAAAGACTATGATAAGATTTGCACCACGAGACGAAATTAGGGAAATTTCAATCCCACAGATGCTTTCGGATCGCGCTCTGTCGGTCGGGCTTTTAACGAGCAAGGTGCAGTGAACCATGAAAGACTCGAAAATTCAGGTAGCTTACGAATGTAAGTTCAATCCTGAAACGACAGCAGTAGAGATGACTCGCTTCATCATGAAACTCCGAAAATCAGATAATTAAGATGTCAATTCTATTGGAAAACTTGTTGCGAAGGTAAATAAAAACGAGTTTAATAAAAGTCGATTAATTTAAAAGTAAGCAGCTGTTGGCGGTTAGATGCAACCATAATGCTTGTTCGCTTCAATCAAATTAACTAAAAAATTTAGTAAAAATAAAAGCAAAAATGACTTTGGCTTGCCTTCAATTGTAACGGATCCTCTACAATAATCGTTTATGGTTAAATCGGAGAGTGGATGCCACTGGTCAATATAAGCCTTAAGCTCTTACTTAAGCTCTAATGTAATCATATTACTATTATAAGAACATTCAAAATTGAAGATACGAGTTACACCACTTCAGTTGCACGGCAGATTACGACTTCACATAATGTTGGCAAAAATACAATTCCATCGTATTCGCTAGACATTTGCAGCCGCAAGAGATTTTTGTTATCTTTTATTATTAATTTGAAGTCTTGACAATCGTTCAAATCTAAACCCAAATGAATAGGTAATCACCAAAGTAACAGAATCCTATAAATTGTCGTAGTACTTCAGATTAATATATTTTTTTTATCTTTGTTGTATTGTATTATGTATTGTAGCGTACGTTAGCTGGAAGTAAAATAATTAAAAATTAATCGTATATATATATATATATTCGAGTATTTTATATTCTTGAAAGTTAAAAAAAATTGGTCCCAATTGTAGACGCAGCCCTTATGATGTGTCATCATCATTTCTCACATTGGAACTTAGAACGTTCTGAGGAAGGAAAATACCACAATACAGTAAAAAAAAAAAAAAAAAAACAGTACAATTAATGATGCGCACGTTAGTGAGACAGAAGCTGGCAGCTGTGTTGTTCTGCTGCTGCTGGTTGGCTGTCAGAGTTGACGTAACACAAAACACACGGAAGAAATAACAAACAATTTTTCTTGACTGCTATGGACTGATCTAATACGCCAGCAGACTCGCTGAACACCTACCTCTAATTATGATTAGAAGTAGTACATAATAATAAGATAAGGATAATAGTGATAATAAGATTAACCTTCCACGGAGGTATCTCACACATTTTTTTTCCCTATAATTTTAGATTTTCAGGGGAAATGTTTAAAAAATATGGAACATTAACTTTTCTTGTTTTGACCGCATATCTCAGTATAATGTGTACTTACAGTATCTCCTGGATATATATCCACGAGTTCCACCAGAGATACCGAATAGTCCTAGCAGTTCTTTCAATGCACTAATTCAAATAGTGATAGTAGCCGAATTACAGAATTCAAATACTGAATCATAAACAATATCGTACCGGTTTCCGAGAAGCATCTCTGAGGTAGTTCTTTGTTTGCCCCCTGAGCAAGCGTAGTACAAGCCGATTAAGGCGGACACCAAGAGCGCCCCTACGAAAACGACATAGTCCCACGGTCCGAAGCGAGACACCAAGCTGTCTGCAGATGCGATATCATTGGCCTCAGTTGAACTGATTAGAGAAGATGCTGTCGAGCCTTCTAGAGGACCCGGAATACCCATCTTGTACTGCATGATTAGAAGAAGAAGAACCACCAACGCGAATTGATGATCTGCTAATTTCGTCCACTTCGTCGGTCGCTCCGTTTGCGGAAATTACTTCAACAGGCTGCACCAACCATTGATGTAGATAGTGCGTCTACATAAGATCATAGCACGTCAAATGAGATCGGACTCAGCACTTGTGACCGATTCCGCTCACCTCAGCTTTGCCTTTTCGGTCATCTGATAGCTAAGAGGCTGTCTCTATACGTCAGGTTCTTCTCTCAGCAATCGCATTACAAGAAGTTCTCGCAACTGAAGACACAGGCGACTTAGCAACAACATTGGTTGCGGATGAAAGGCATTCAAGACAGTTTGTACGGTTTAGTGTTAGAAAAATCCTTATTAAGGGCAGACATAGGAGGAAAGAAATGGAGGGGGAATGGGAGAGTAAAATCTTCTGACAAGTTTTACACTGCTTTGGGTTTGGTACGTAGTTTAGCAGATACGCCCTGCTCTAGGCGATTAACAGCATCGCGAAGCTTTTAACTGTAGACTCACTTAGGCTGATGTAGTTCTCATCTGGTATCCTAGGGCAAAGCTACGAGCCTATCGGACACCATGGCAATACCGTGAAGGACGCATACGAACTGAGTAAAAATAAAGCGACCATTGATCCTTTTCCCGTCGTGGTCTCTTGTAACTAGATAGTCTAGTACCGGTAAACTGGGTAGTAAAGTAGAAGGATAGGCCTTTCGCCTGAACTGGCACGCATAGCAATTATATCTCTCTTTTGCGAGAGGGTGTTGTACGGTCTCATTCTTGCCTGAGCGACGAACGCAGGCGATATTGAATCAACACGAGACACACAGCTGATGTAATGATACAGAAATATTGTCGCTAGTAGAAATTTTTCGAAGCAATCCAGAGGGCTTAGACTAAAGTCTCCTCTCTCTCTCTCTCTCTCTCTCTCACACACACACACACACACACACACATACACACCCTCTCCTTCTCTCTTTCTCTTTCTCTAAAAATCTCTCTGTCCATCCTTCCTATCTCTCGAGTTTTACGTCCGGCATCGCCATTAGACATCCCATCAAACCCTACTATTAGCAGGCAAATACGTTATCATCTAAGCTATCACGGGGATATCGTCCGTCCTATTGAGCTCCTTTGTTAGTCTCCGAAAAGTGACAACTTGCATAGCAGCTAAAAATATGAATCAGGACAATAACGAGTGGATGGGTGACAGCGTTAAAAACTGTCGCTATATGAAAATCGGGTAAACTACCTGTGTGTGTACGCATCCTGGTGCTTGCGGACGTACGTGTACTCTTACGCCTACAACAGGGCCACAGGGATGTAGGCAGTTGAGATGAAGGAACGACCGTTATTGAGGGTAAATGACTGTAAATTCAATAGAATCCAGTATGACACAGCAATATACACCATATTCTACAAAGCAGAAGTATATATGTCCTGTGGCAAGAATGCGTAACTGGTAAAAATATTAAAAAAAAATCTGTACATTCAAAGTCCCATGTATTGTTATTCAGATTTAGTAAAACGTTGAAATGCTATCATCTGACCGGCTGAACGCGAATTATAGGCAGAACTCTTACTTTGACAAAATGAAGAAGCTTGCAAAGTGATTGCATGTGGTAAAATTAATAATGAAGCATGTGAGTCCGTTTGATTTGGACAATGCCTGAGCGTAGATGGCGTCCTGTAGGCAGTGACAACAGGTTACAGAGAAACGTATGTAAGAGTAATCCTCACATACAGTAACACTTGTGAGTTAGCTTTCATAAATGGTTGATCTCACAATTCCAGCTTTATGTAGATTATGGATTCACGAAAACCTATTCTGGCTTGTCTTCAATGTTGCTATTTAACTAGCCTTTCTGATATATGAAATACTACATATAGCTACACACAACATCTGTGAATGATCACATTATTTCTACTATATACGCTAGAATCATTTTCACTGCACGAAAGATCAACTAGCTACCATTAAGCGGTCAGTAGGAACCTTCAGGTCACTTGCTTTCCTTGAAAAGGAAAGGCTTGTCTCATTCTGCAGGACCATGTTATCCGTCATATTTATTTAACCTATAATTTTTATAAGTAACTCGTTATGTAATGAAATCTCCATTCTTCAATTTTGACTCGTGTGATCCTTCGGAAAAATCTTCCACCTTGATTTTCAGACCTATGCAGACGTGAAGGTATTTAGTTTAGAAAACAAGTTCAACGGGAAACGAGTAGAAACGGACATTTACAAGACAGTTGACAATTAAGTTCTTCAAAGAAACCATTTCTCAATAAGTTTACAGGTTGAACAGTTGTTCAGTCCAGTAAACAGCGCCGTTGATTCGTCAAAGGATTCGACGTATTTTTCCGTCACAGTCAAAGCCGGTCAGTAACTAGAAGATGACGTTTGCAGCCATCTTTGGCCCAGTTCGATACTGCAATGTCAGCGTGGCGCAAACCTTATAACTTCTTATTTAAATGTATGGGCCTTTGTTAATATATAAATTCATACTATTTACAATTCCATAGCTCAGTTCTCGAGTTGATGGAAACGTTTACTGTCTTTCTAGGAAGTAACAAACACACTAAGCTTGTCTCGATATGCCTATTGACACGACAGAGTAAGCTTGAGTGAGCAAATATACTTCAAACACAAAGCTGCATAACAACTAGCTAAATGTTTTTCTACGCAATAGCTGGTCGTCGCCATGACGTAACAACGACATCGAAAACTTCGACCACAAACGCTACGTGAGGCCATTATATGTTTATAAAGTATACAGTATATGAATCATCATAATGCTATTCGAACGCAATTATAAAGTCCGTTCGATCCTGAATTTGAGACTACAGTACTTAAAGCTAATATAGTATTATAATCACCTATATAATAGACCATTTTATTTTTCGTTTTGCCTATTACCATACAAAGAACGATGGAAGTGTAGGGCTTCAAAGATCACTTTATAAATGTATATATTTTTTCTTTGTTAGCATATACGTTTGAAGACTGGGGTTCGCACGAGTAGGCTTTGCTGCTACCATTGTAACTTTGGCTATGCATCTAAGTAAGCTAAGTGCGCGTTTCGTGCAGCATCTGTAAAATGAAAATGCGGAAATTTAGCCTAAATAGCTTTTTTTTTTGTAAAAAGATGTTTTTAGTTGACAATTAGCCAGTTTTATTGAATTTTACTGGATGTGGGACATGCTTTTAGGCCATTTATAGACTACGGAAATCTTTCTTTAGGCTCAGCAATTTTGCAGAATCTTGCTCGATGACCTTCAGAATTTATAGGATCTGTTAAGTTTTTTATTTAACTGCGTGCGAAATTTTCAAAAACAACTCTCTCCTCGAGCGTATTCATCGAATGGTATGATGCTTATTTACTCCCGCCGCTACGTGAAGTTAAGGTCATATAAGTTAAGGGAAGAGTTGACGCGTCGCCAGTGCTTTGACGTAAACATCCCTGGTGTTTCGAATCCGTATTGCATATTTCGTATATAAAGTACTCTTCGTTGTTAAGCTCTAGTTTTCTTATGTGACAACTCGTTTTTTGAAACCTCAGCGTGAAGGATAAATTTGACATTTAATCGTCACGACCACACGTAAACAAAGCCTCGTCTGCTATTCTTTAAAGGTAAACCGCCCTCTAAGAACACGTCAATTCAAATTACAATGCTCGGTCCTATATGCCACACAAGCATTCAAAATGTGAACATGTTTTTCTTTTGATAGATGGATTGAGTTTTGCTTTTGGGGTTGATAAACCCAGAATGCTTTCTATCGCCTCTAGAATATAAGAAGCGCCTTCATATGCAAGCACCTTTATCACGGTTGTGTAAGTTACTATAATATGTTCGGGCCCTAACTAATCGCGAAGTTCAACGCTTCTTTCTTTGAAAAACTATGTGTCAGACAACTAGTACGTATGCAAAGAGTAGAACCAGCCTTCTGCATGGCTACATAAGTCCGTTTCAATTTTTTAAGTGCCTAAGCTATTCAAAGACGTACTCAATGTATTTTGAAAGTTTTTCAAATTTTCAAACAGAGAAATATATTTTTAGTAGATTCATATAGGAAGTGGTTTTCACGTATGTATGTACATTGGAGTATGCTTTACTCTTAAGACTGCTTAGGACACATGTTATACCTAAATTTGTAAGGTTTACAATAATTCATAGTTGTTTAAATTATCAGAAATATGGGGCCTTTTTTGAGCGTGAAGATTCTGACAACCGAAAGAGGCAGGACCCAGACGATGTTCAGTTAAGGGCCGTCGATAGCAGCAAATCCAGCCAACCCTTAGAACCGTACGCTCCTGCAGCTGGGGCCGCTTCGAGAGGACAAGCCGCCGCTAAGCGAAGCTACTGTTGAAGACCCACCGTTGGGATAAGCAGTACCAAGGCGAATTGGCGAACCCACCCGTTTTAATGGTCGAGAATTTCATTAAGCAGGCTCTGGCAGTACTGACGACTAGAGAGTCTCCCGAATATGATGACACCGTGAATCACCGCGACAGCTTGCGAGGTCCATTACGGAACTTGCAGCAAGGCCGGAGCTTGACGAGACGCTGAGGATTACCCAGTGCGACTGTGAAGGACTGCAATTGTGACGTATATTTCCCCGGAAACCCTGGACAGTATACACATGTCAGTGCTAAAGAAGAACGAGGAAGCCAGCCCTTTTAATACACCGCGTTATTATTTATTAATGAAGAGCAATGGGCCAGATCGCCCAAATGGACCAATCTCTATTTTTTTATAATCCTAAGATAGGCGGCATCATTTCGTGCACAGTGGAGAATAACATCATTCCCTTGCATGGCCAGCGACTAAGGTCAGTAGCCGGCCTATGTTAGACTGGCTAGTTCAAAATCTGCTTACCTACTGGTGAGAAAACTCGTCATTGGTCTGGCAACGTTATTTTCTTATTCTGCTTCTTCGCTGGACATCGCCGGCGATTTCAACGCCAGTCTTGACCAGCCGGACCCTATAACCGCCCTACGGTCCTTCTAGACATGCTCGCGTCAAACCCACGTCAATACCGAAGAAATTCGGTCATCAATACATTTGCGACAGCTATAATCAGTGATAAAATTTCAAGGAAAACATCATTCTCAGCTAAAAGGCGCATGTATTCATGCCCACATACTGATGTCGATAGATTTCGGTGTCCAAGTTGCGCCTGTGCGGCCTATCAAGCCCTAAGCTTTGTCGTGTAGACAACCCCTTAAAATGGCCAAGGTGGACGTCTTTGTCAATGTGCTCAATCTTCTTGTTCCGACCCTATAGGAGACTAACCATCGACGACAAAATAGTCAAATTTCAGCTCTTCACACAGACAGCCAGCCTGGAACAAGGTGATAACCCAAGCCCGCTTTTACTTTCCGTATTACCGAAAAGCGTTCCTGATTAAATAAAAGAGAAATCAGTCGAAGCTATCTCGTACGCAAGCAAGTTAGTGACGAACGGGCCGAACAAGTACGAAGTGCAATAAGTTTATAATTAGTCTTTTATAATCATTCCGCTGTGCCAAGGCGGTAATAGGGACCGGCAAAGATTGATTTATATTCAGTTGGTCATTGAATAGTAGCGCAAAGCATTGGTCTTTGATGGTACTCCTACGCCGAAAGCTGCCATTGCGTAAACATCATACTTTAGCACTCTCCCTCTTTTCTCTTTTATATATATATATATATGAACTGATTTTCAAATTTGAATAAGATACTAGTATCTCTAATGTAACAAATCCTTCTAGTACGATTTAATAAATTGCAACAAGCTTCTTTTGATTTAAATAAAAAAGAATC